GAAAGAGAGAGAAAGAGAGAGAGAAAAGTGGACGACTGTGGGGCTGCCTGAAGGGTGCGCGAGAGGGAAAAGGCGTCGGGTGAACCCGGTCGGTTCGAGCAGTCATTTTTCTCGTTCTGCATGAGCCGGTGGATGGAACGGAAAGCCTCGAAATTGGAAGGAAGAACTCTTCTCGATCAACCGAGATACCACTCGTCTCTACCACTCCGACGTTCCATCGCATCCGGTTACGCGAAGGCGCATCGTGCCGCATCGGTCCCCAAGACTGCGGTAAAAGGTGAGCCTAGGGCCGAGTCGAGGAGTCGCGACGCGTATAGACGCGCGATAAAACGCGAAACGACTGGTCCGGGTTATGCGGGGACATCTTGGAAAATGGCAACGCGAGGGCGACTCGGTTCGATTATACGAGAGTCCGGGAAAAATAGGGAAAAATAGGGAAAAATAGGGAAAAAAAGCGCGGTCTCTCGAAAGACCGGGTACTCGTAATTCGTAGCAGCGTCGTTCGTTCCCATCGGTGATGGGTATAATACGAGTCCGGACGTTTATGGAAATTTATGCCTGTTTTTCTCTCCCCAGCCGCGAGTCATTCTTCGGCCACGGGGATATTTGTCCGCCGGATGCCGCAAAAAGAACGAGATACGCGATGGGCGAGTAATTTCGCGGCCTGCGATTTGATCTTTATTCCTGGGTACGTGTTCGCTCGTCGGGTACGCGTCCGTGATCCGCTCGTGAGCCTGGGTCCGGCGTTAATTATCGGGAGAAAATCCTACGGGACGGGCTCGTACGGGGCGGACCGAGAATCACGGTGAGGGCAAAGAAGATAATCTTTCGCGACTGGGGTAAATTAAAACGGACGAATAAGACGCGTTTGCGCGGGATACGCGGTCGTTATTAACCTTTAAAATGCCTGCCTCGCGAGCAACGATACGCGTACGCTCCTCCCTAACAATCTCTGAAAGGAATTCCAAAGAGAATTCCTGCCGGTGAACGAACAACGCGGATTGCAACGATGCCAGAAACCCCTGGCGTCGGCGCGAGCCTGGAAATTACAAGAACAAATGTCGTTTCTTGAGCAATGCGGCTAACAATTCCTACAGAGGTAGAAATAACTAGTCCAAACTAAGTTCACGGGGCTGTAGAGAATTAAAAGTGTTATCACAACACTAACGCGGACTACGGGAGTATAGAATGATCAGCCGAGCATGAGGCGTGACGACGACGGTACACCCTCTGAACGGTGTTCGTGTACGTATACCGGGTGTTCCGAAAGGGGTCACCATAATTTACAGAGCGCGAGCAAACACTCATTTAAACTCCAACACGCCTTGACCATTATCCTAGGTTTAAGGGGCGGCAGAGGGTGGAAAGTGGAGAAAGGCGGCGGCAAAAGGGAAGGAGCAAAGAGGGGGTGGAAAAGAGGGATAAAGAGAGACGGGAATCACCGTCGACCAACTGTTCACAGCGCGACAGGAGAATCTAACAACGAACTATAATGGGATTTCGGCTTATCTCGCGACCCTGAGAGTTTTCCTCGTGTAGAAGCGCGAGGGAACGTGTAACCGGGGCTAGGGGATAGAAGGTTGCTCGATGCGTGACACCACATTAATTACCGGTATGTCCTAGGCACCAACCAATTTCGAGGCTCAGCCCGACGCTGCCTGGCTCTGCCTTCGATCCCTCCACCCTCTTCCTCGTCTCTATACGACTATACTCCTCGCGTTATGCCCGTTACGTCCACCTTACGTCCAAGCTATTCTCCTTACTCTTTCGTTTCACCGGTATAAACTGTTTCGTGCTCCTCGTGGAAATTTCGAACGCATTCCGCGTCCTGAAACTTGCGACGGGAATAACGAGTAGAAAGGAGATACCGAGAACTTGTTACTCCTCGTGTTACTCGTTCTTAAAGGAATTGGCTCTCTCTTCTAAATGACTCCTGCTCGAAAAAAATAGGCGAATAATCCGATAACGAAATATAATTCCGAGGATAAAGGAAGCACGAATGACCCGGGTTAAATTTAATTAAAAATTCCCTGCCCTTGTGAAATTCGGATTAATCGGGAATGAACGAAGCTATTACACGGTGTCGTTCACGGTTCCCGTTTAAAATTGCACGATATCGGGTCTATGGTAAAAAGCGACGTAGACGTTGCGCGGAAAAACTGCATAAATCATACGGTACATTATTCCGGAGTATCTCTTGGAAAGAAGAGGAAGAAAAAGGAGAGGGATTGAACCTCACCCAAGAAACAACATCGCTAAGACATTCTTATTCCACTCTAAAACAGTTGTAAGAAAGCGCGAGGCATAAAGCGTAAAATACTTTGCAACGCCTTCGGATAAGACCCGGCGTTTGGACGCGTGCACACATCTACACGGTGCTTTTAACCAAATGAATGTTTCACGAGGAACAGTGTCGTGGCACGGGGAGCAGACTTTTTTCCGACCGGCGAACAGTTATTAGTCCTCCGTCCCGGGTGAACTTCCATCTCGAGCGAGTTCCTCCTAGCTGCCTCGGATCCTCTACCAGCGGGTGGAAATAAATTCCGGATCATCGGCTATCGTGCGCAGACGTCGAAACCTCCGTGAAATAACTCGCCTCGAAGCGGCTGAAATACATTCTGCCTGGTCAGGTCCGCGTTCGAGCAACGAAAACGAATACGTACGCGGAACGTTTCGAATGGTCGACGCTTTTAAATCGTCCCCCGTTCCTTCTCTTTTACCTCCGTTCGCGGACCAGCACCGCCGAACGAAAATGGTATAACGTCATAAATTTCCCCCGGTTTACCGGTACAGGATCTTGGCATTAACACTTCGAGTAGCTAAGCAAGGGTGGAAAGCGAGCAGAAAGAGCGAGCAGGGGTAGGAAGGGTGGAAAGAGAGACGCGAAGGGACCTGCAACGCATTTCAATGCACCCCGGAATGGAACATATTCCACGACACAGCCAGATGCCCAGCACATACGCGTGCAACCTGCTCCACGCGTGTTCCGCGGGTTTACACGCTGCGCGATACGGCACGACCATATGTAGCCTCACACGTGCACGCGTGTGTATAGCGAGTTTCAGGGTAGCTACCCCTTCCGCGGCCCTCAGCCGCCGCTTCGTGACGGAGAAACCCGGAAAAACAGTCACGTTTATCATCGAGCTTGGCGAGCGCATCGGGACGATCCCAGCGAGAGATATAAGCGCGAGAAGGCTGCTCGCGCGTGTAAGGATAAAACGCTCTAATGCAGCAACGCGTAATGGCCCGTTCCTGTCGCTGAGAAAAATTGTACCGGTCTCGGGAAGTGCCCTAACGAATTCTCATAAACGCGCCAGGTTTCGACAACAAAGTACAAACGCGCTGGTTCCTCGTGAAAAATAAAAGGGTTGTAACGCGATGTACCGCGCGTCGAGATGCCTGCCTCTCCCGGGGTGAAATTGATCCTCGTTACGGGGGAAATGTTTATTACCGTTTAAAGGGGCGCACGGCTCTGGCAAAGTGACTTCTTAAAAGGTGAGTGGCGAATTCGCGTCGACGCAGCCACGTGAATATTTGATCTGCGAGGATCCGGTGTAAGCCGGGGACTTGTCGATGTTAAAGAAACACTCGAGGTCGAACTATAAACCGCATTGGTATGCGCGTGCATCCGCGCGACGAGAAGAGGCCAGTTACCCCGTCTCTGCAACTCGAAAGTGGTTGCCTAACGTGCTTGCTAGTGCTTCGCAACACCGAAACCCGGAAAAATAATCCCATTTATCGTCATACGCGCGGGCATTAAAAGAAGAACCGTAGCAGAAAAACAAATAACCACGGGGATGAAATTACGAAATTAAATTCCACCCTCGTCCCTCCGCAAAACTGAAAATCACGTTAAACCCGGTTATTCCCCGATTACGGATATCGCATTTTCCCATGCGATAAATCCAATTTAAAAAATCGATCAATAAAGAATACACTGCTGTCGCAAACATTTACACTATCAATCTGCCCCAATTCCAAATCCCATTCCATCTCTCTCTTTCTTCTACCCTCGTTAAGTAAACGAGAAAAATCGCGAAGGGACTTTCTTTGGCCGACCAACACGGGGGTGAGTATACGGGGTAAATCCGATTCCGTCGTTCAGTCTGCTAACAGACTTCCGAGAGCTAAAGTATCGCTTTGATAGCACGAACCGGTTTACATATTTCGATCGAGCAAACCGCCTTCCTCGTGTTTTCGGAATCGAGTTCGCTCGGAAGATCGATCGCGTCGATTTCGAGTAGGGATTATTTACCGATTGACCCGGTGAGGGTAGGACAGGTGGAAACGGGAGTAGAGAGGGCCGGAAAAATTGGCGGCAGGGAACGAAGGCGAACGATCGGAAAGGGCGTAGGAGCAGCGAGGAGGCGGAGAGATCGTGCAGAACGTGATCGTGCGCCTCTTTTTCTACCCTCGAGTGCAACGAACAACCCTGCGCCATCAAGTGCCGGCGGAAGCGCGCAGGCACCCTCGGCCACGCTGGTGCATGCGCAATGGTGTATTGATCCTGGGAAATCCGAGATGCGCGTAACATCATCCAGTGGTCCATTGGCTGTACGGAATGCCATTTCTGTTCTGCGCTCGTGCGGCGTTCCGCGAGCGGAACTGGACGCGTCAGTAACGCGATCGGTTTCTCGTCCCCGATCGCCGGCCATCGCGTTCATCGCCGATAATATTCCAACGAGCCGCGTTAGATTATGAGATTCGCGAAAGAACACGAGATCCACTGTCTTAGGAGAAGTGCTCGAGGAGACTGAAGCGAACGGAGATCCCAAGTATGTAACTTTTCACTCAACTTTCTCGTAAACATCGTTGGAGGATCGATCTCGGCGATCCATCGATCTCCGCTTGACTACGCTTTATTCCTTTTTCCTTTTCCATTGACGAACCGGATTAAATTTAATACGATTTTTGAGACGGAGTTTCGAGTAATTCCCAGGTATACTTTGATCTTTGCAACCATTTTCGCGCTTCATAGTCAGTTTTCCACTTTCTTTTTCTTTTTCTTTTTGTGGGGGAGTGACGAAATTTATCGCGTTTGTTTAAGAGCAAGCCTCACTTGGATGGTGGGACGTATTATTATTTCAGAATGAAATTAACGATGTTCTGCGTTGAAGACAGCGTGATCGTAAATATTGCAAAGCGCGGTTGGCGCTTTACTCTAGACCGTTGACTCGTTGAAGCGCTTGGATTCGGTAATAGCAATGTCCGATGTTTAATGAATTAGCTTATTAATCGCGGTTGGCTTTCATAAAAAATGAATGCAAACCAGCGGCAGTTAGCGCAACAGGTTCGTTATTCGGGTAATAGCAAAATCGCGAAGCATAGTTGAACTATTAACAGAGGGCTATGCGATAGAGTAAATTAAATTTGTATTGCTAACCGATCGTGAATTTCAGCTCGCGATTAGATTAATTTTCAAGCTATGATTGTCTCGTGTAACAAACAGGATGCCAATTGGACCTGATCAACGAAACTAGCCACGCATCGCTTACTCAAAATGATACTGCAGACGATCATCCTGATCCTCTCGGCAACGATATGCTACAGCAATCCCGACGCAAAGAGACTGTACGATGATCTGCTGTCGAATTACAATCGACTGATCCGGCCTGTTTCGAACAACAATGACACCGTAGTGGTTAAACTAGGACTTCGTCTGTCGCAACTCATAGATCTCGTACGTGATCATTTTATATAATTAAACACCGTGATTTAAACACCGCGAGACATTGGTCGGATGTAGGATTAGAGTAACGCTATTGTCTGGGAAATTTACAGAATTTAAAGGATCAAATCCTCACGACGAACGTTTGGCTGGAACACGTAAGTCTCGAATAGATCGCACGACTCTACGCCGAGTGTACGTTGTTTAACAAAGACGAAATTTTGTCCAGGAATGGCAGGACCACAAATTCCAATGGAACCCAGCAGAATACGGAGGTGTTACCGAACTCTACGTACCCAGCGAGCATATATGGCTTCCCGATATTATACTGTACAACAAGTACGTAAGATTATTCTCAAACTTTCATTATTACCAATTCTCGTGTTGCTACGATTGAAAATATCGACATTTTCAGTGCGGACGGGGAATACGGGGTAACCACGATGACCAAAGCCATCCTGAACCACACTGGGAAGGTCCTTTGGACACCTCCTGCGATCTTTAAGTCCTCCTGCGAGATAGACGTCCGATACTTCCCATTCGATCAACAAACCTGCTTCATGAAGTTCGGTTCGTGGACTTACGATGGTATCCAGGTAAGTTTCAGCCACGTGTCGACAATTACGACTAAATAATCTTCGCGATTCTTTGATCCGCGCGCAGATCGACTTGAAACACATTAATCAAGACACGGGCGACAAGGTGGAAATCGGAATAGATCTGCGCGAATACTACCCCAGTGTCGAGTGGGATATACTAGGAGTTCCGGCGGAACGACACAGGAAATACTATCCCTGCTGCGACGAACCCTATCCCGACATCTTCTTCAACATCACGCTACGTCGCAAGACGCTATTCTACACGGTGAACCTAATCGTGCCCTGCGTGAGCATCTCCTACTTGTCGGTGCTCGCGTTTTACCTGCCCGCCGACTCTGGCGAGAAAATCGCCCTCTGCATTAATATTCTACTGTCACAGACAATGTTTTTCCTACTAATATCGGAGATTATACCATCCACGTCGTTAGCGCTGCCGTTACTGGGCAAGTACTTGCTTTTCACTATGATTCTAGTGGGTGTCTCGGTGGTTATGACGATCATCATACTGAACGTTCACTACCGCAAGCCGAGCACCCATAAAATGGCGCCGTGGGTCAGGAAGATTTTCATAAGGAGACTACCGAAGCTGCTTTTAATGAGGGTACCCGATGATCTACTCAACGATCTCGCAGCGCATAAGATTTACGGGAGAAGAAGATCCGGTAAGAAGAGCAAGTTCAACGCTGCACTCGCGGCTGCGGTGCAATCCTCTTCCATAGTCTCTTCCCCGGACTCCGCTCGTCATCAACGAATCGGTGGTAGGTATAGGCTCTTCCATCGTGTCGAGGAGAAGAAAGAAAGCTGGTTCCAGGAGACGATTGTTTTCAGGATGCAATGGGCTGCACACGACTGCGCATAACAGATTTTTGGCAGGCATCGGTGGCTATAATGGACTTCCTACAGTGATGTCCGGCCTGGACGAATCCTTGAGCGATGTAACTCCCAGGAAAAAGTATCCTTTCGAGCTGGAGAAGGCACTGCATAACGTGATGTTCATTCAGCATCATATACAACGGCAAGACGAGTTCAATGCGGTATGTACAGTCTGTAAGGGAGAGGAATAATTGTGAATCGTAATTGATGATTTGTGCTGATCCTGTAACAGGAAGATCAAGACTGGGGATTCGTGGCGATGGTTCTCGACAGGCTTTTCCTCTGGATCTTCACGATAGCCTCGATCGTTGGCACGTTCGTCATCCTGTGCGAAGCTCCAGCTCTCTACGACAACACCAAACCCATCGACATGCAGTATTCTTCCGTGGCTCAACAGCAATTCCTTCCTTACGGTGATTTCGTAGAAACTCTCGAGTAGAACTCCTACAAACTGTAGTCAGACGAAGAAGCTGGGGTGCTAATTTCTTCTATTTCCCACGATAAAGGGTCTCCACGTTTCTGAATCTCTTCTCGTTACAAAGTAGAGATCACGTTTGTCCAAACGAATCACGACAACCTTGGCTTCTCCATCCATTTCATTATAAGATATACAATTTTACATAGCATCTCTGAAATGTCTAAAAGTATGTTTGATTTACTCTCGACGGTATAGCACGTGCACACGACGAATAAGTACTCTTGAACAACAGTAAGCGTATTAGCATTATCGCTAAAGGGACACTGCAGTATTAATTTGTAGAAATTTTGTAACGTCGATTACGTAGAACACATACGAAACGGAATACTAATTGCCCATCAGTCTAATTGCGTGTAGGAAGAATTTCATGCTCGAATACCTTCTCGAAGAGCGATCACGATAATTGTTATGTAGTATACGTAATTTTTTCAACTACTAAAATATAAATCAACCTTTTTCATTAAAAACGAAATATATACTCGAACTCGTTCGATATCTTGTATGCGCATAAAAATGAAATAAACGACAACTATAAAGCATTTTATCGTTTATTCGTGACTATATGACTGACCGCTATACTTTACGCTTACAATCAGATCACATTCGCTCGCATGAATACTCACTTATGTACACTTCAAAACCAAAGTATAATTTATTTATGTCAAACACGTACAAGAAAAATATCGTACATTAAAATACATGTATATATTAAAACGTTGGGAAATTGGTCGTGTAAATCACGCGTAAAATAAATTAACGTCGACGTTATTTGCAATACGACTTGAACGTTACGAATACGATCGTAATCGTCTAACGAGACATGGATATAGTACGTGAAAGAAAAGGAGTACGGTGTATACGAATAGAATCATAGAAATGGAGTGATAACTCTAAATATGACAAACATTAAACGGCACGTGTCTTGCATTCACTTGGAATATTCTTGTCGAAGCGTTAACATGCCTTGTATGTCGATATTAATCGCATCATCGATTGCCTCGTTGCGGGAAAAATGCAGGCGAGGTGACACAGAGTCCCACGTTCGTGAGTTTCACGGGCTTTCCCGTTCTCCTTGCTTTGGCAATCGGAATGTACGGACATGTCGGGTCGAGTTGTATTATATATATATTACAGAACAATACAGCGTTGCGGGTACTAGATATTGTCTTTCTGGAATATCAACGAAAGTTCGAAGGTATAAAAGAAAAATGATTCTTTTTATTCGGAACTTCCCTCTTACGCTATAGTCTTACTCTGGAAGTTACTAATGAATTAATATCCGAAATAAGCTACTTAAACGGAGTATACTATTCAATCATGGCAAACAGAAATAAGTAAACCGAATTTCTCTCTTTGCTAATTTAATTCGGATGCTTCTCGTTTAATATGCAAATCCTTTTGTAATCTGCACGCAAATATCACTTTTTATACGTTAGTTTACATGTCAATATATATATATAATACATATAATATGCAGGAATACGTTTCGCTCGAAGTCCCGAAAGCACCAGTAAAATATAAAAATAAAAAATACGCGAATAACCTTCGTTCTACCTCATTCTCGACTCGCCTTTTTCTTTCTTATAAACTAACGAAGCATATCGGAAGAAACAGAAGAACGATTTTTAGTCTAGATACTTTTAACCGGGTAGAAAAGAAGCAAAGGAGCGGAAACACTGTTTCTCATTTCTTTTGCGTTCCAGACGAATTTCATTTTCTCTTTCTAGTCACAGGTTTAACACGCCAAAATATCTTTGTAATATTAATCGCACACTATCTATAAATTTCACATGTACACACTCGGTCGCGTCATCTCACTTATAAATCAACGTGGAATCTACATCGTCGAAACTATCACACATTACAGGTTGCATTCGTGCCTCATCTCGCAAGGAATAAGCGTCACATATATAGTATTTTGTAATACGACCTATGACAATCTTGTCAGATAGCTCCTTCTCTTGACATAATACGCGATAAGCAGGGAAACGTTGACTACTTCCCATTACACTGTATCTGATTACATAAAGGACCGCGTAACAATATACAAGTGTACGTGACTCTGTCCTGGCTTAGCCTTTCCACGTACCGATATACCTTTTACATTTCGGACAAAAGTGATGGACACTCATGAAAGTGCCCATACAATACGGCAGACACGAGCAACAGCAACATCTAAAATTTGAAAGAGCATCGGTGAAAATCGATTCCTTACTATCGAACGAAAAGTCACGTGTACCAACACGAAAGCACCTCGTTTCGAAATGAAACAACCTAAAAGCTCGGGTGGAAGCCGCATGCTGCTAATGATAAAAACAAAGAACTGCTTGAGTCGTGTTTCGAAACTGAATTTAATCGAAAACCTGTGCACCACTTCCGTGAATCGCTATCACCAATAGCTGAATAATCGCAGAACAGAAAGCAGAGAACAAAACCAAGGCTGTGTAGAGTAAAACAAAGAACAAAACAATGAACGTATCCTGACAGAGTGATTATGAGAAACCAAGGTACAAAAAGATTGAAAATGTTCGTAGTATAAGACATATACATTCGTCTCGGGGACGAGATTGCATTTTAATTACATACGCCGCGAAGAAAGACGAGTGGTATGATAAATAAAAAAAAAACAAGGGATATGTAGAAAAGCAGCGTAAGCATTAATTTTCATAGCACAAGCAATAAAGCGAATATTAGGCCTAGATTCAGATGCACTCACCCGAATAAACAGAGGATGATACAGCAGAGATGAGCGCCTGGCTGACGATCGGATATCGTGGTAGTTTTGATGTTGGCACGACACGTCGGACAGACCGTTTTTATTGAACTAGAGCTCAGGGAATAAATCACTGGCCGATAGACGACTGGAAATTCCTGCGGAGGCACTGTGTTTGCATTTGCATTATACTGTGTCTGCGTCAGCGGCGGAGGTTCAACGGGCCCTGAATAATTCGTTGGATATGGCACCGACGACGTCTGGGCCGGTGACTGACTATCTGAAATTTCACTCAATTTATTCATTCGATCCACCTGTTGTCAAATATTTCCGCAGATTTACTAAAAAGCAACCAAGTGACGCATACGAGTCGGTGCTGGTGTAGACGTAGATGTAACAGCTTCCTCGTAGGATGGAGGTAGTTCCGAAGGTGGAGGAGCCGTGGGTTGAATATTTCCTGCGACCAACCCCATATTTGCGCCGGGTAGCCCCATATTTGCACTGGGCAGCCCCATATTTTTCGCCATTCCTCCTAAAAGAAAATTTGAATCAGCTTTTAAATACCTGATACGAAAGGAAATAAACGATTTATTTCAAGTATATATATGTATATAATTCAATCGGGTACTAAACGAGTCTGGTTCGAATTAAGTCGAATTAAATACAGTGGGTTCAAATCGCGTTTGAACATTGACGGTGTGCAGACAAATGAGCGCGAAAGTGCTCGTGTGCGAATAGAAAGTTGAGCGGATATTAAGTAACAGAGACAGTGAGAAGTATGCTCGTTTCGTAAAGCCGTACCGACGAAATTTAGAACCCGGTATACATCCGTGTTCTTTGTTCCGCTAGTCGTTACCTTGTAAGACTAAATTACGTTGTACAAATATGACTCGAATAATGCCACTAAATCTCGATTTAAAATGAACGCAAATTAATTACGTAATTACGCAGATAACGGTACACTCCGCTGATTTCAATGACTTTTTCATATGTTGTGGAAATCAACGTTCTGAACAACTTTTCTTAATACACGTTACCCCCTCACGGCTTCAGTTTCTCAGATATTCGCGAAAAACTGACGCCACCGCGCGTTCAATTCTGCCTATACGTACATGTGCGTGACAACGCGTGTGTAAGCTTAAGACCATCGTTTATTTACTGTTTCAATAAACACGAGAGACGCTAAGTATTACGTATAACGCGTACAACTGGTTGGAAATTTTTCTAGATACAAACACGTGATAATTATACGCAAGAACTATACACATGACGCAGTACAAATTTACAAAGGTTAGTCATTACAATTCTTTCCTGGAAAGACGCAATGAATGACGTAGGTGATTAAAATATACAGTATACAAACACGTGATAATTATACGCAAGAACTATACACATGACGCAGTACAAATTTACAAAGGTCAGTCATTACAATTCTTTCCTGGAAAGACGCAATGAATGACGTAGGTGATTAAAATATACAGTCTTTCTTATCAAGTGAGTGTTATAGTTTCTTCTCGGTTAGTAAACAAGTGCTCTAAAAATGCTCAGACCTCCTCACTCGAATTCCAATCCTGACACCCAAGCCTGGCGTCTAAACATCCCAATCTGGCCTTAAATCTTAACGATGTCTTTCTTGCAATCGGCTGAAGAGCTTCCTTCAGCCAGAAGAAGGACGGCATCGATGATCGTCATCCTCGACGTGCGCTATAGTGATTCTATACAGCCACCACGATGCGTAGATTCAACGACTTCTTCGAATTCCTCAAGTCCTCGTACCAGTCGATAGCACAGCAATCACCTTGAAAGGGTCCTTTGCTACTGCAGTCAGCTTCCTACCTTTATGCGTTGCTATCGTGCTGGCTGTAACCATAATGACGTCACCCACGTCGTATTTTGGAGACACGTTGACTTCGCGGTGCGTCGATCGACGACTGTACCTCGTACGAGTCATTCGGTAACACAGTCGTCACCTTGAAAAGGTCCTTTGCTACTGGCGTCAGTTTCCTACCTTCACGTGTTGCCATCGGGCTGACTACAACCATGATGTCATCCACGTCTTATTTCGGAGGCATGTTGACCCTCTTCTTCTGATACTGCTGTTCGACCTTGATGGCTTCCTTTGCCTCGTTCCAAAAAACCTGCAATTCCACTGGGTCCAAAGTACCTTGAATCTACCATGGTACGCAGCTGATAACTAAATAAAAGTTGAGTGGGCGATTTTCGTCTGGACCGATTAACACAGCAGTTAATCGTACTTTAGACCCTTTTTACCTCGCTGTCCCATAGTTCCTCCGCCTTGTCGGCATACTACTTATCGCTCTTGTTCGTGATTATACGTTAATGAATGTACTTGGTATCGCACGTCAAATAGGAATGAGTCATGTGACAGTGTAATTCTTGCCGATGGATAATAAATAAATTATGTCGACTGGACTCCCTGAAGAATGTGCTGGTCACGGATGAAAGCAGTTTTCGAGTAATAACATCCCGTATCAAAAAACGCTGAAATCTCTGCAGTGATTAAATGAAACCTTAACGTGGTTTACGTCGGACCTGTGTTTCCTTTGACGCTTTCTATTCCCTCGATGAGTAAACCACGACGCAATGGAAAAAAAATTTGACCTGGAATGCCCTAAAAAAAAAATTCAGTGAAGCACAATTTTGCGGGAAATTGTTTTAACGGATTTTCACCGATCCAGAGGTTCAGAATCACAATGTAGCGGTTGTAACATATAACTTTTATACATCCTGTAAATCCCTGCGTATTCAAGTAATTTTGTTTTATACCCTAAATTTAACTAGTACATAACAACTTTATACGTAGAAATACACAAGTACATAATTTATTCCACAATATGTTTATACTTTTATACAATAACGTCCGAATAATAAAAGTTTGGTTATATAAGTCTAATTGTACAACGTAAAATAGCACAAGCAAAAACTTATTAGTTTCTTTATTGAGATAAGGACACACATATAAAGACGCACACAATAAATACACACATATAAAATTTGACGCATCGATGGAACTCCTTATTGCGGTAGGGTTACTTTAATCGAGATTACAATAAATTCTAACTATGATAATGCAGTTAGTAAGGTACGGCTTATTCATAAAGATAATTAAACAAATTTAGCAAAACATTCTTACCAAAATAAAGACTTCAGGTTTCTGGAATCACTTACGTCTTTGCTTATGAGGAGGTTATAGTTGAACACTTCGACGTACTAATAAGTTGCATGCACCGCGAAAGCAACGTTATACGTAACATAATATTCGTTATTAAGTGTTTCGTATCATTATACCGAATTCTTTTTACGCGTATTTATAAAATAAACGTTGAAAAACACACAACACCAACTAAAAACTGTCGCATTACCATAGCTGAAACGACTGACGAGATTCTGTTTCAATATTTGTCAACGACCAATCACATGCTCGCATCGTTTTACGAACGAAACTGGAGAAAATAGTGCGATGTACTAATAAGTTGCATACACCGTGAAAGCAACGTTATAAGTAACATAACTTTCGTTATTAAATATTTCGTATCATTATACCGAATTATTTTTACGCGTATTTATAAAAGAAACGTTGAAAAACACACAACATCAATTATAAACTGTCGCATTACCGCAGCTGAAACGACTGACGAAGTTCTATTGCAATATTTGCCAACGACCAATCACATGCTTGCATCGCTTTACGAACGAAATTGAAGAAAATAACGCGACGTTCTAATAAGTTGCATGCACCGTGAAAGCAACGTTATACGTAACATAATATTCGTTATTAAGTATTTCGTATCATTATATCGAATTCTTTTTACGCGTATTTATAAAAGAAACGTTGAAAAACACACAACATCAATTATAAACTGTCGCATTACCGCAGCTGAAACGACTGACGAAGTTCTATTGCAATATTTGCCAACGACCAATCACATGCTTGCATCGCTTTACGAACGAAATTGAAGAAAATAACGCGACGTTCTAATAAGTTGCATGCACCGTGAAAGCAACGTTATACGTAACATAATATTCGTTATTAAGTATTTCGTATCATTATATCGAATTCTTTTTACGCGTATTTATAAAAGAAACGTTGAAAAACACACAACACCAACTAAAAACTGTCGCATTACCATAGCTGAAACGACCGACCAGGTTCTACGTAATATTTGCCAACGACCAATCACATGCTCGCATCGTTCTACGAACGAAACTGGAGAAAATAGTGCGACGTACTAATAAGTTGTATGCACCGAGAAAGCAACGTCATACGTAACATAATATGTGTTATTAAATATTTCGTATCATTATACCGAATTGCTTTTACGCATATTTATAAGAGAAACATTGAAAAACACACAACACCAACTAAAAACTGTCGCATTACCATAGCTGAAACGACCGACCAGGTTTACGTAATATTTGCCAACGACCAATCACATGCTCGCATCGTTTTACGAACGAAACTGGAGAAAATAGCGCGACGTACTAATAAGTTGTATGTACCGAGAAAGCAACGTTATACGTAACATAATATTCGTTATTAAATATTTTGTATCATTATACCGAATTGTTTTTACGCATATTTATAAGAGAAACGTTGAAAAACACACAACACCAACTAAAAACTGTCGCATTACCATAGCTGAAACGACCGACGAGGTTCTACGTAATATTTGCCAACGACCAATCACATGCTCGCATCGTTTTACGAACGAAACTAGAGAAAATAGCGCGACGTACTAATAAGTTGTATGTACCGAGAAAGCAACGTTATACGTAACATAATATTCGTTATTAAATATTTTGTATCATTATACCGAATTGTTTTTACGCATATTTATAAGAGAAACGTTGAAAAACACACAACACCAACTAAAAACTGTCGCATTACCATAGCTGAAACGACCGACGAAGCTACGTAATATTTGCCAACGACCAATCACATGCTCGCATCGTTTTAGCAACCAAATTGGAGAAAATGCCGCGAAAAATTTTAAATAGTTCTATAAATACATAGTCTTTGCTAAAATATAGCCATTACTGACGATTATTAGTTTTACGCGTCAAAAAAATTTAATAGAAGTTTATTATAAAAAAGTCATTAAAATTAATGTTATTCAAAAGTTATTTGAGGCTTTCTTGTGAGTAGTGCAGTGCGAACTTTTGCCGCGTTTAATAATGGTGCGTATAATACAAGTTTCAAATAAAAGTGCAATATGTTTATCAAAAAAGGTGCATGATGTAAAAGCAGGCCTGAATAAGATCGTCAGTATTTTCGTAAGTAAAAATATAGATTTATCTAATACAATTATGTTCAAATATCTTAAGGTGGATACAATTGAATTCTATTGACAGGGTTACCAATGAACTATTATTAAAGAAAATTTTATATGTTTAATAATATTCCTGTCATTATTATTTATATAAACTATCTATTATTTGAAAATTTATAACGTAAAGTGTCTTCTTTTCCTCTACACCATTGAAAAAATAGTTTTGGAGAATTTTCTCTATGACCTATTTTACGAAATTATTTTGACAATATCCTATTTATTTGTTGCATTCTTTTTACTTTTATACAATTTATATATTATATTTTCTATATTATATTGCAATATAACAATGGAATATGACGAGCAATATATAATGAAATGTATAGGCTGTACCTATAATATTCAAAATGTGTTTCTTTGTCTATTAATCATAAGTTGGCAACAGTTTCTGCTAGATATTTCTGTTAGTTATTGAACACAGAACTGCATAAAACATTCTGTCAGATGTGTTTGAATGTATCAATATTTCATACACTGCTTGAAATGTAAAAAGATGTAGCAGTAATAGTGAAAACTTTAAACATAATATGGGACACAAGAAGTTCCAAATAGGTTAGAAAGGATGGAAGTAAGTTTGAAATTTAAAATGTTTCAAATGACAAAAGAGTGATAGTATTTTAAAACAAAATGGGATGGTAATAGAAAATCATAAAATATTTATTCATGTAAAAGAATGAAACTTTATTTATTATGTTAAATTGTACAACATAAAATTTCCAAGATGATGCATTATACACCTTGGATCCATCATCAAGCGATGTTGGACAATCATCAGTGTTATACACCATACATGACTGTTGTACCATCCTATCCGCATAATAATCATGAACAACAGCATATTACAGAAGAAGAGAGCGAACAGACAGGAGACGAAACACATGATACAATGACTTCTGCTACATCGGGAGAACGTAGTTCTAGTGCTGATATATTTAGATTAGAATTTGCAGCAGCCCAATGGTCCAAACTAGTCTCAAATGCAGAGGGTCTTTTTACTAAACTTATGACAAGCAATATTTTACCTCATACAGAACAAGATCAGATCGAACAATGGCTCTGTATGAAACAGGAATACGAAGAATGTATTGCTAATGATGATACAGGTAGCTTGCAGGGTTATACGGAAAATGCAAGAAGATCATTAGAAAGAATAGAGGAAGTCACTGAAACCGATGAAAAGACAGATGAATCTGTACATCAAATGGAAAGAAAGATCAATTTAAATTGCACGTCTAGTTCAGAGAGTGAACTTTCTGAAACTAACGATGATGACGAAGAAGAGGAAGAGGAGGAAGATCATAGCGATATTAGTTCAGAAAACCCAGATTTCTTAGAAAAATTGGACGAATGTATGAATAAACTTAAAATAGAGACAGATAGAATAGTTGATTCTAAAAGGGACGAATTCAGAGAAACAAATATAGAGATCATTCCAGCTATAACAAGATCTATAAATACTAATAACAATTATGTTCATGCAGCTAGACCTGCTCCACTTAGAAATCCAAATTCCAGGAGGAACTCCATGCTTCCTGGTTCTGAAATGTGTAATGAAGTATTAGCCTTTAATGATAGCCTTAAACCTAACCAAAATCAAATGTTAGATAATAAGACATCAGCATTTACTAGTATAAGAATGTTAGACAATCGTGAACCCGAAACAATTATTAATGAAAATCTAGCAATACACAATGACAATTCACCAGATTTATTAATAGATGCTTTGAAAACAACAGAAATGCCAGAACCTATAAAGGAATTAAAAACTTTGACATTAAATAATGAAGCAAAACAAACTCAAGTAAAGAAAATTCAATCAGATTTAGATGGAGCTCATAAACGTATAGAAGAACTACAAACGACTATTAAAATCAAGGAAAAATTCATTGCAGACATGATAAAAAATTCAGATGCACGCGCCAGCGCAAAGCAGAAATTTCAACGTAAATGGAGTAAATTAGAAGAAGAATATTATAATACAAGAAGTCAACTGGCTCAAGCAGAGAATGCTTCTATCTATAAAGACACAGAGGAAAAGTCTGCACACAAAAAGGAGATTGAGTTATACAAAAACATGGCCATCCATTATGAGAAGAGATTGATGGACATTGAAATGATAAAACAGATTGCAGGTGATTCTGCTAAAAAGGTCCTAGAACTAGAAAGTTCTTTAAATACTTCTAAAAAGCAAATGGAGAAATTGAAAAAGCAATTGAAAAAGGAGGAGGAACGTAAAAAACAATTAGAAGAGGAATTAGCAGAGGATCAGAAAAAAATTCGCGATCTCGAGGAGAAGTACAACTTGACAGCTTCCAAGCTGAAGGAGATGCAATCGGAAAGCGAGGATGAGAAAAATAACAGTAAAACAAAAATCGACTACTCCGATAAGAAGAAAAATCTGTTGGACGTTAGTGCGAGAATATCGCATCTTGACCACGTTTTGAAAGAAAAATCGATGGATTTGGAAAGGACTGCCGATATAGACGAGAAGGAGGCATTGCGTCACGAAATTCGAAATCTACGACGCACCCGGGATTGTTTGGTGGACGAGAAATGTGATTTGGATGAAAAATTTCAGAAGGAAAAGACATTATCCACTGTAGAAGAACGGAAATTATTGGAATGCGGAGAAACTATCGAGGCGATTGATGCTATGATCGAACATAAGAACGAGATGATTTGCGGACGAAAGGGATTCGATGAAAATCAGTCGCAGCGCGAGAAAGGGGAGAGAATGTTAATGGAGAGATTGGCTAAGCTTTCGGATGGTGAAATGAGAACTTTGTTTTATAAATATTTCTTGAAAGTAATCGATTTGAAGGAAAGTTCAAAGAATCTCGAAGTTCAGACTGCTGAACTGGAAAGTCATATAGAAACACAGGAATGGCAGATACAAACGTTGACGAATGCCCTGAAGCAGACTAAATTAGAAGCAGAGAGACGAATAGTTTTGATGCAGAGGGAGCACGAGGAAAAATTGCACCTCATGTTTAGACACTTTGCAGAGGAGACGAGCAGTTCCGGTCACGAAAGACTGGACAAGGATTCCGAACTTGCGAAATACAAACGTGAAAATAAAACTTTGAGGAAACGATTAGCGGATGTCGAGGCCCTTTTGAAAGGCCCAACGCACCCTCGTACAACTAGTCCAGCGAAAATATCGCAGCAAGGGTTAAAGCAAATTGCACCGAGTAGTCGACCGACAACCAAAGTAACTAGACAGCGGAATAAATTAATAATACAAAAGACCACCGATTGCGATAAAAACAAGAAATGAACTTCTCTAAGATACAGTCTTTTCTATGTTTTTCCACCATTAGCATTTACTTTTTATCCTCTTTTTTATCTTTTGTACAGTATCTAGATATTACGTTATTAATTTAATACAACGCACGAGAGCTCACTATCGTTTCTCTAATTTGCATTTTTTATCATTTAAAAAACATATCCGGATGTTCGTATTTCGTATCGCGAATGCTCATTTTCAGATTTTTATCAATTTAATTGAAATAAGTTGCGCGGATATGTATATAGTTTTCATGCGCGATTATTTACCCCTTTTTTTATCCAATTGATCCAACTATCGATCGGTATTCATTATATAATCGTAAGATAAATTCGATTCATAGTATATTCGTCGAATCAAGGATATTGAATCTCAATCAAAATAACGTTTGCATGTTTCCCAGATCTCAAATAAGAAAATAAGTATTGCATTTAGAAGTGATAAACACAAGGTTATATTTATGTTTGGAAAATAGTAAAACCGAATTATTAACAATCATTTCGATACCTATTATATTAAACGTAGCATAAATATTCTACAGTACGTCATTGTACGCAAAATCGATAGATGCATCTCGCACTTGATAGCGTAAGCATGATATTAAATAATTTGTACAAGATTATACTCATTGAATTCCAACGTATTATTTATTGCAATTTTGTAAATATATTGATAATAAATTGAATGCCCCAATGATATTTAACCCTTTGGGTCCTCGATGAAGTATCAGCGAATTGTTTGTTGTTAATTTATCCTAAAATCGTTCGATTTCCATATATATACACAAAAGCAATTGCAAGGGCCGAAAGGATTAATATCCTTTACATTCTCGCAAAGTGAACACGATAAATAAATAATCGATTATTAAAAGGGAAATGTGTTATTTATTCCACGATCAATATGCACGGTGTGAATTCGGAAAATATGTTACCTAAAAGATAGAAAGAAAAATAACAAAAGGGAAAAACTGAACAAAGTTTATTGCCTGGAAAAGAATTTTTGAATTCATAGCCTGTCGAGATAACTATCCGTAACATCCTATAAAATAGACCAAGTAAATTTAAAACAAATCAAATGCAGTATTACTTTACATTTACGAGTTAAGAGGTGCAGTGAAATATGTAACTTAACCCATTTATTTTATTTTAATTTTTTTGTTCTATCTATTGCAAAGATTTATTTAAAAAATATATAAAAGAATTAAATCTTTCATAACATTGTTAATACAGCAATATAAAGTAATCATAATAATGTTTATAATATATATCTAATAGCGTAATGATTATCGCACTTGCTTCATACTCGTGAGATCCCTGGTTCAAAACCACGTAAAAAAGAAAAACTTTGTTGATCTTGAATTTTTTCTTGTTTGTATTTTTATTTTAAAAAATACCTAAAACTTTTCTAATAAAGTTTTAATCTTTAGCGTAAGAAATTAATATTTTCCACGTGTATATTAATAAGCAGGAAGTATTAATTTATTACTTTGCTATGCCGAGTTTATTAATATATAAACGTTTAAGAGTGGATTAATTTTATTTTCTTTACTATGTGTGTTTGTGAAAAAATATGGTATACAACGAAGTAGTTATAGAAAGAAACTAAAAAGAGACATATTTTGAATTTTACAGAAGTTCGCCATCAAGTGTCAGGATGGCCGAGCGGTCCAAGGCGCCAGACTCAAGGTTTATCCCCTTTTTCGGTTCAAAACTGAAATATAATGTGCGTTCTGGTCCTCTAAGTGGGGGCGTGGGTTCGAATCCCACTCCTGACAAATTATTTTGCAACTTTTTGCATACATTTAGCTGCAAAAATTCGACTTCCGTGCATTAATTTCCCGTAAAAATACTTTCGGAAACCTCTCGACCTAGATACCGCGAGTGACCCAGGTTCAAATCTCAACGCAGACATTTTATTTTTTTATTCCATTAAAGCGAAAAAGTAACGCGTTAATTCGCCATCTGTTATCGTGCAAATCGCCAGTGAAGCGAAATAATTATTTTTTTTATTAACGTTCCATAAGATGTCTCCTAAAGAACCCACGCTGAAAGAGTACCAGTTCGATTCCTGATACCAGGATTCTATTTGGTAGAAAACTAAATAGCACAAAATCGCACGAGGAAACGAAATGCCGAAAGTAAGAAACCCAAAAACATAACAGAGGGTGCCGCAATGGACTGTGACAACCCCCAGAAATCCGTAGACCCAACGAACCAATCACAAGAGGACCTTATCCTAACAATTAACTTAAATATCACGATAGAGGAACTAAGAAACCAATTTTCTAAGGAAAAAGAAGCTAACAAGACACGTAGTAATCAAATGCCAAATTTGGGAACAATCCCGACCCAGGATAAATTTGAAATATTAAAGAACCCATCAAAGAAAATAAAAGAAGACCTTTCTCCACCAACTAGACAATCCCCGAAGAGGAAGGACCTCGCAACTATGGAGGAACAACACATTTTAATAAAAAATAAAGGAGAAACATCCCGTTACAATAGCATAGCGGTACTACAAAGGACCAAAACAGGAAAACAACCACCTATAAACATATCCAAAGCCCGAATCCACCCCCAATCACGGTAATTGATACACTGTCCAAAATAATTTTAGAATTCCTGAAAAAAGTAACATCGCTATACCGAATTTATTTTAATATAAATGTTTATGAGTAGTATCATTTTATTTTCTTTACTACGCGTGTTTGTTAAGAGATATAGAACTGTATATTACAAAGTAGCTACAGATAGAATCTAAGAAGTTAATATTTCGAATTTTACAGAACGTGCCCAACAAGTGTCAGGATGGCCGAGCGGTCCAAGGCGCCAGACTCAAGGTTTTATCCCCTTTTTCGGTTCAAAACTGAAATATAATGTGCGTTCTGGTCCTCTAAGTGGGGGCGTGGGTTCGAATCCCACTCCTGACAAACTTTTTTGCAACTTTTCGCAAACATTTAGCTGTAAAAATACGACTTCCGTGCATTAATTTCTCGTAAAAATACTTTCGGAAGCCTCTGGACCTAGATACCGTAAGTAACCCAGGTTCAAATCTCAACGCAGACATTTTATTTTTTTATTCCATTAAAGCGAAAAAGTAACGCGTTAATTCGCCATCTGTTATCGTGCAAATCGCCAGTGAAGCGAAATAATTATTTCTTTTATTAACGTTCCATAAAATGTCTCCTAAAGAACCCAGGCTGATAGTGTACTAGTTCAATTCCCGATGCTAGGATTTTATTTTCACTTTATAATATTGATTATATTAATATCAATAATGATTATAAATATTACAATATTAATTATATCAATTAAAAAGGATGAATTACCCCTCTGATTGCATTCGTTCCATCGATGAATTTACAAATCACTGGTCAAAGACAGATTAGAATAGGTATTTTAGCAATCGCGTAATCTTATCTGCACGGTAGTTCGCTGCTTCTGGAAAACCGAGAATAGTCAAGGCTTTTGCTCCGCATTATTGGTACAGGCATTCGTTGTACTATCGTGATAGCGATTGTTTCGGTTGCGATACGCGATTGTTGCTTCACTTTGCCTTGCATCGTCTCTATTCTCCGCGTAAATACGTAGTAAAACGTGCCTTCGTCTATCCGTCGGTATGCAATTACTGTCACCTTTATCGACATTCGCGGAAGTGACTCGGGGACCCAACAGGTGTACCACGATCGAGTCTATAATTCCGAAAAGCGGCCGCAATTTTCTCAAGAGGCACCGTGTCAGATTGAATGAAAATGACTCGTGATAACATGCCATCGTTAAAGTACATAGACGCGAATTGTACTCGCACGGGACGAGCGATTCGGTTACTTCACCCCTGTGCGAAAACTTTGCCATTCCTCGAGTCCCAGGGAAACGGATTACCGATGTCTCAGACGTCCGGCCACGAGTGGATGAAATCATTTCGGAAATTAATAAACGTTCAAATTAGTTATTTAAAGTGAGAATCGTGTCGGTGCATTTGTACATAATAACCGGTATAATTATCGTAGATAATATCGGCATTAACGATAACGCGAAATTTTTTGAATAAGTGTCAATGATAAATAACAGTGAACGTGTCCGATAAAATCACAATTAAAACACCTAAGCTACTCTAACGATTCTTTTTATATTCCTCTCTCTCTCTCTCTCTCTTTCTTCACTCTCAATTCGTAAGATTATTATCGCCTCTTCTGACGCCTAGCAGCGTCCTTTATGTTACTTAAAAAGTTCTCTTTTTTCATCCTCATCATCTATCTATGCTGTTCCCTTAATGACCACGTACTCTATCTTTCGTTCACACGCAAGCACGGCCAACACAACTGTTAGCGTAAATTATCCTTCTCAATGACCAAATGTGCGCACGACTATCGGGTCAAAGATCCAGACATAATGACTCGTTCGCGCTATGTATCATATGGCAACAACAAGGTTGCCTGACTTGTTACTTTATGTAACTACTGCTCGCTCGTAACTGCGAGGCTGTGTACAATATTTCGTAATTAAGTTTGCATGAATGCTAATTTGAATATTGTGCGGCCATCGTTGTTGTCCCGACTGATTGATAATCAACAATTACCAACAATCGATTACGCGTTTCATAGAATATTATCCTCTGAACCAGTCTCGTTTCTTTCCCTCGTAGTCGACTCCTTAATCTCCATCTTCTTCGCGATTTCCAAATGAAAATTGCGGTATTGCGATGCCAAGGTTAAGAGTTAGGACGTCTACTGCGATGTCAATGTTAATTCTCTCTGTTCACGCAGATACGGTGGTCTCGGGCAACTGAACTCGAGCTGCCCATCGATCCTGAAGAAGGGCTATCTGATATACAAAGTATGGATACTGCTCACGATGTACATCTTCGCGGTGGCTGTGTTCGCCGACATTTGCACGAACATGGACGATCTGTCAATCACCACGGACGATGGCTGCTTCTTGTCTGGGTCCTTCGTCGTGACCTTCAAAGCGATGAACTACCAAATTAACTGGAAGAGGATAATGAAACTGCTGAACGATGCGTTGAAGTGCGGCGACGATCTCTGCGAATTTTCCGGTGAGTAGACCATCGATTCCTGCTTCTTTGACAGCGTGTAGCATGTACCAATAGCGAATAGAGCCTGAGGAACGTGGCACGAATCGTAAGCGGCGAATTTTGAATACCAGGCGATACCACGGCATGATACTCTGTAGATTATGCGACATTTTGCCAAGTGGCATCGGTATTTCGTGACACGGCACAATGCGTTTCACGCTTTATCGCTTCGGTTCATCGACGCGATGCGAATGGACCCTGGCGCGAACGACACGCCTTTAAAATAAAGAACACAAGCACACCAGGAAAGACGTTGCTGGAAGTGACGCAGCGAATGACGTCCGTTGACTTCATTAATTCAGCTCCACTTGGTCATTTTTCCGTGGCCCTTTCTGCCAGCCTTTTTCACCGCGGTATCTCTCCCCGGAGGCTGCTCTGCCGGGAACTTATGCAGGATTACTCGGCACATTTCGCGTTGCCGAGCTTTGCACACGCACCCTTTTGTAATATGCAAACCTTCAACTAGACTCGTTTGCGTTGGTACACCAGCGTTCTCTCGCGGACTAGCTAGCTGAAGCTGCGAAACGTCAGCAATGGTGCCTTCCGCCTGTTGTCCGGCTAATTAATCGCGCCATCTTCTTCGCAGACGTCGAATGCGTGAGAGACCTCATCGCCAAGTACCAGATGCGCAACAAAGTGATCTTCTATGGATTTAACGCGTTAGGATTTATTCTAGCATCGATTTTGTTATTTTTTACCCCAATGGAGGATGGCCTGCCTATCAGGGCTAAGTGCCCTTTCAACACCACGATGTCTCCCTGGTACGAGATCAGCTTCTTCGTAGAAACGTGCGCAATTAGTGGCAGTCTGTTGGGAATCGTTGCGATGGACAGTCTCACGATCGCGATATGCAGCTTGGTCACTGTACTCTTCGACGTGCTGAACATAAATTTTGAAAACTGTACGAGCGAGGACCGCGAAGATGTAAGTAAATTTAGATTTCGATTTCCGAGTTCGCGAGTATGGATGCACGTCGAGTTGCCTTTGCAGATGATCGACGAGGAACGAGATCGAGGGAACGATAAGAGACACGATGGGAAGAAGCGGAACAAAACGTTCCTTCATCGTTACAAGACGTGTCTTCAATTTCATCAGCGTTTAGTGTCCATGATCAAGGATTATAATAGGATCTACAGCTCGAGCATGTTCGTTCAAATGCTTTCGAGCACGTTGATTATTTGTCTGACTAGTTTCCAGGCTGTCGTGGTAAGACCCGATGATACTCTAGGGTATCGGCTGGATCCTGATCGATTTGCACCGTTCGAAACAGGTCGGAGGGCAAAGCTCGGACATCCTCAAGTTCGGGATTTTCCTCAGCGCGGCCGTTTCCCAGCTCCTGTACATCTGTTGGATAGGGAATGAACTGCACTACTCGGTAAGGGTTAATTCGATGTACCTCCTAACACGTTTCGTCTCGTGTAGTGTCTAAATTATGGATAATTTTAAAAATGAGAAAAATCGAAGAACACATGAGGAATTTAATCGGGAATTTTCTAAAGAGAAGGAATTTTCTGTCACGAATCGATTCAGTGCTCCATGCTGGATAAGAGCCAGTGGCTGTCGGGCTGGCATCACGAACGTTTGACCAATATCGGGCAGATGTTCATGTTGTCCACCATGTTCGTGAAGCAGTCGATAACTTTGAAGGCCAGCGTATTCTACGTGCTGTCTCTGGAAACTTTTATCTCGGTATGTAGACGTCGGCTAAGTACACGGTAATGTCTCTGTACACGCGGTATTTTCATCTGGACACTTGTTGCAGATCACAAAAGGGTCTTATTCGGTTTTCACTGTACTGAACAACATGCACGCAACGAATCATTAACGGTGTAACGCCGTCCTCGCCACTGCTTGACCCGCGGGAAGACCTTCTGCCAATAGCGTACAGATGCAAAGGGGAGATATCGAATAGGATCTTGGTTAGGAGAGGTAAAGAAGACTAACCCAATATCTCGACGTATCCTCGACGAGGCTGTAAAAACGGGAATAGGAATCCTATTTTTGGAAGGTTCATAATCGCTAAGGTTCTCGACAACCTGTTCGCCCGTCACGCTCACGATGATCCCCGCTAGCTTCGGGCCAGCAACCTTGCAAATTATGGTCGACGGAGCTCTCCTCTCTCGCACAGCGATCTTACCGATTCGTTCTGTTTGCACTCTGTAATATGCGTTCAATAATAATCGGCAACAGCTGCAATTTTCACTTCGTTAGTCGGAAAGTGACGAGAAAAGAGAAACCAGTTTGAAAACGACCAGAAGCCTAGATTCAGTCATTGCTGTCACGAAACTTACGCGTTCCTTTTCTCAAAAAGGAAGGAAGAAAAAGGAAGAAAAAGGAAGAAAAAGGAAGAAAAAGGAAGAGAAAGGAAGAAACGTCGAAAGCGATTGCGATTTTCTCTAGTTTTCCGATTAAATACCTCGCGGGACTCGTTATCGAGAAAGGCGAAATCAAAAGGCTTGCTTGTCTCGTCCCGTTACTCAATTTATCTTGCAGCTTGTCCCGCGATTAACAGCTCCCAGGCGAACTTGTATCTAGTCGCGGATCGCAGAAGCAGCCGGAAGGTGGCCGCGAATTATTAATAATTACGTTCGAACGTCCAGGGAATCTCTGAATTCGCTGAACCTCCGTGAGATCGGGACTTGCTCGTCGAATCTAATTAACTAGAATTACACTTGCCACGCGTGAACCGATTGACGATCCTCGCCCAGCTAATTTACGATTAGGCATAAACGCTGGCGCGAATCGATAAAGTATCCCGAATATCGTTACGCGCGATCGTTAACGTCCGACGCGAGTGTTTGGTCGGAATCGATGGGAATTCGACGGTAATTAAATGGCGAACGCGTTTTACTGCCTCCTGCCTGTCGTTGACTGGCTGGATCGTCTGAAATACGAGAACGCTCGTGTCGTATGGGGTACCAGTGTCGCGTCGTCTCGTTGTTCCATGCTCGATCTCCGGCTTCATCTGACCGATCGCTATCTGCTCTGATTTATAGCGCCCTACCTGTTTCGTACAGGGAGTTCCATTTAACTGGACCGGCATAAATATTTCGGTTATTCGCCGCTGATAAAAGGAAGCGTTGAGTCAAGGATGAAGAGCGTTCCTCTTTCAGCGGGCAATCCTTTTATCGTACCAGGTAGATCACCTGGTCTTCTGGTTTCCGAGTTATTTCGATGTTGCGAAGGTAGTTGGTTGTAAATTAAATACACAGCGCGGTGTACATGGCGTCCTTGGCTATTATCCGATCGCCTTTCAGCGAAGGCGAACACACGATGGGACAAAGTGGCGCGTTTTCAATGAGACACTCGGAGACAAAAGCCTGGTTCCGGTGAAATAATAAGTTAAAGTTTATCGCGGCGTGGTATTCGCCGGCATTCAGAGTGTAAATTTGGCTCGGGACGTGGCAAATTGCAGAGGGAACCCAGGGACAATGAGCAAGGTAGACCCGCAGCGATGCAACGTCTATTCATCTACGAGTAGTTATCGCCCATTCGCTGACTTTTATAACGCGTTCCCGGCAAATTCTGCCGGCCCGCACAAAGGAGAGGAAATCGAACTGCTTGGCGGGGAAATTTAGAATCAATTGGACGCGCGGCGAACGTCAGGTAGCAACATTGGCATGGACATCGACGCGGACATCGACATGCGGTCGTTCCGGCCCCGCGACGAGACGGCAGCCATCGAGGAATAATTAGATATACAGTCGCCTGAACCTTCGACCGACTACGCATAATTTTCTACCTTGTTGTACGCTGGAGAGGCAACTCGCGACGTCCGAGAAGAGAAAAGGACCGAGGATGTCGTTGTTCTGGCAGCCATTCCGTTGGCACTTGCTTCCTAGACAGATGGTCGCTTTACCACATGTTACCTAACTGTAGGCCTCCTTTAAGTACCATTTCTGCCGTTGGTATCGCGCGTTTCTTCCAGGCCTCGCACTGCCGCTTTGTTGCTGTCGTGATTTCTTGCGGTCTTGTTTCTTTCCCGCGCGGAAACGTACTAATCATCCGCGTGCGCGCCGCTCGCGACGCTTCTTCTTGCCATTTTCACGCGATCCTGTGCCTCTGTTGCGTTACCTTTTTGCCGGTTCCCGTTCGCCGTCTTTCACCAACGGTGTCCGAAAGAATTCCACCGGCGAGCTGGCGAAAAACGCTCGACAATCGCCAGCGAGAATTTTTCAACCGGCCACGTCGTTTTATATAATCTTCCGCGTTAACGCGTCCCCTGTCACGCGGGAAATCGATGTCCGATGACAGTGATAAAACTATCGTTACGACAGGGATATTCATTCCATTCTCTGCCGTCTATGGGTGGCAGGCCGGAGAGAGACTTGGTCCCGTCGAAACATTCCGGTATCGCACTCCGATACTTCCATTTGCTCCTCGCTTCCACTCCAAGTTTCATCGACCCTTTCATTTTTCTCTAGCCCCGGCTACGGTCGGATTATCCGAGAAGAGGAATCCCTAGGGTTTATCGTCTCTGATACGTGTTATTGTAGATATTCCTTTCCTTTTACGTTCGGCGTATCTCGCGGAAATCGCGCGTGCTTCGCGGGCGTAGAGACGCGGAGTACCTATGGCGAGATCCGCTTTATTACCTAATAAACCTCCAATGTCGACTCGCCGTGAAGCGAATCGAGGGAAAAAAGGTGGCGTCAGGTGTATAAATCGGGGAATCGAGAGAAAAATCACGGGGAATCGAGTAGCTTTGGTATAAAGACGCGAGGTGGCACTTTCGCGTCAAAAATGAAGCGTTCCGCGTGTGGTCCCGGCGAAACGACCTCTTTCGACTTATCGCGCGAAGCTTGGACCATCAGAAGCATAAATTTGCCGCTGAAATTTTTGTACACCGCGATGTGGTTCCTCTTTGTCCGGATCCCTGCAGGGAAAAAGAAAGAGCACTGCGTCACCTGACCCGCGGGTTAAACGCATCCTTCTTCGTCTTCCGTCGCAATAGCTGTTCTTCTCTTGCGACCCGTGTCCCCAGAAACTGGAGTAGCGATTCGTTATCGAAATTCCGCTTTGCGCGTCTTCGGCGAGAATTCCTCGTTTGTCAAAGTCTGTCCCGTGCGCGAATTTATGGCGATCCCCACGTGAGGCGATCATTAACGACTGCTGAAAATTAGTATCCAATTAGGATGGAATGATCCGTGTTACGAATGGTGCTTTACGATGATTGAAACATCAGGCCGTTCTGCTCCGATGCTTTCGCCGAGCTACTCTCGAAACTAAAAGCGACCCGCTCGAATCTCGGGATCCTTTCGAGAGCTCGATCGATCCTCCCTTCGCGGAGGAACGATTAGAGGGTAGCACGGCTCACGTGGGTGAAAATTTTTCGAAGGAAGAAGCAAAGGGAAGAAGCAAAGGGTAATCCAATCTTCCGTGACGAGGTAAAAATTTAATAGGCAACAAGAAGGACAAGCCGGGAAAGAGGATTAATTGGGCCGATGTAATGAATTTTTTCGGCAATGGATCGCCTCGGATCGCTGTCTCATCTCTGAAATTTAGCCGGGGAAATTAATAAGCCGTCTCTTTGGGTGTTCCGAGGCTCGGCGGGCAGGAAACGCCGCGACGGCGATCGATCATCCCACGATCGACGGCGGGATGCGTGGTCTTTTGGTAAATTACGGAAAGCTTAGGTAAAACGGGCCACCTATGGAACCTCGCTCCGTTGGGAAATGGCGCGAGATGAAAATTGCAAACGCCATCAGGCTACTCGAGGAGAAGCTGGTACACTGACAAATTATTATATCACGCGTGTCCGGGAGAAAAAAGCGTGCTCGCTCACCCTGTACGGTACATCGTGCATGACCAAACGTTTCGACGAAATCAGCATCTCTGATACTACTGGGATAAACAGAATTTCGAATGTCGGATTGGACCAGGAACAACTGATACAAGGAGACAGGTGTAAGGGAAGAACGTTCAAAGGAAGATAAGTAAATTAATTCATCCGAGAATGGGCAAATGTGTTCGCAAGTTTGACACGTACGGAAGGGATCTACGAGTCCATCGTCTGTCAAGCTTGTCATGGTTCATGCAAGCAGCAAGCTCTTCAATCGACGAAATGAAGAGCGAAACTGGTTTGCAACACCGGAAGCCAGATTTGCACTTCCGTGGAGCCATTATTCCTCGTGAACTGGACTAATTACGCTAATAATTTACAAGTTTATTAGCGACACCGTGCATCGCGGATCCATCAGGTGGGC